TCAAATAAATAAAATCTTTAAAAAATAAATAAAATAAAATAATTTAAAAATTTTTAAGTCAAAAAAAAGTATCAGTTTAATTCACCTATAAATAGCCTAAAGAAGAAAATGATTACAAATATCTCAATTGATGTAGAAAAAGCATTGAGAAAATCCAATATAAAACAAACTCTCGCAAACTTGGTATAGAAGGGAACTTCCTCAAATGGTATAGGACATCTATAGACTACCTACAACTAAAACATACTTAATGGTGAAAGCCTGAACATCCACTCTGCCATTTCTATTCAACATTGTCCCAGAGGTTTTAGCCTAGATAAAATGCTAGCAAGAAACAAACAGAATCTCTAGATTGGAAAGGAAGAAGTAAAATGGTTTTCATTTGCAGATAACATAATCTTTATGTAGAAATCTGAATAAATCTACAAAAAAGGCTAGTAGGACCAGTAAGTGGTTTAACAATGTTGCATAATACAAGATCGATATACAAAAGCAGTTGTATATCTATGTATAGGCATATCTCACAGATACTGTGGTTTGGTTCCATATGACCATAATATACCAAATATTGCAATAAAGCATGTCAAATGAATTTTTTGGTTTCTCAGTACATATAAAACTTACATTTACCCTATACTATAGTCTATTAATTATGCAACATTATATCTAAAAATACAATGTACATACCTTAATTAAAAAATACTTCATTGCTAAAAAATGCTAACCATCATCTGAGCTTTCAGCAAGTTGTGACTTTTTGTTGGTGGAGGGTCTTGCCTCAGTATTGATGGCTGCTGACTGATCAGGATGGAGGTTGCTGAAGGTTTGGACAGTTGTGACAATTTCTTAAAATAAGGCAACAATGAAGTGTGTCACATCCTTTCAAAAAAGATTTCTCTGTAGCATGCAATGCTGCTTGATAGAATTTTACCCACAGTAGAACTTCTTTCAAAATTGGAGTCAATCCTCTCAAACCCTTCCACTGCTTTATCAACTAAGTTTGTGTAATATTCTAAATCCTTTGTTATCATTTCAACAATCTTCACAGCATCTTCACCAGGAACAGATTCCATCTCAAGAAACCACTTTCTTTGCTCATCAGAAAGAAGCAACTCCCCATCCCTTATAAGGATCCCTTTATCATGAGATGGCAGCAATTCAGTCACATCTTCAGGCTCCACTTCTAATTCTAGTTCTCTTGATATTTCCACTACATCTGCAGTTACTTCCTCCACTGAAGTCTTGAACCTCTGCAAGTCACCCATGAGGGCTGAAATCAACTTCTTCCAAACTGCTGCTCATGTTGGTAGCTTGACCTCTTTCCATGAATCACAATGGTTCTGAAATAGTGAATTTTTTCCAGAAGGCTTTCAATTTACTTTTCCCAGATCCATCAGAGAAATCATTCTCTATAGCAGCTACAGCCTTAAGAAATGTATTTTTTAAATAATAAGACTTGAAAGTTGAAATGACTCCTTGATCAATGGCTGCAGAATGGATATTGTGTTAGCACGCATGAAAACAACATTAATCTCATTGTCTATCTCCATCAGAGCTCTTGGGTGACCAGGTACACCAATAGCAGTAATATTTTGAAAGGAATTTTTTTTTTCTGAGCAGTAGTTCTCAACAGTGGGTTTAAAATATTAAGTTAGCAGGGTGCCTGGGTGGCTCAGTCATTAAGCATCTGCCTTCGGCTCAGGTCATGGTCCCAGGGTCCTGGGATCGAGCTCCGCATCGGGCTCCCTGCTCCGTGGGAAGCCTGCTTCTCCCTCTCCCACTCCCCCTGCTTGTGTT